CTGGTTTCATTTGTTTGAAGAGCACTGCGTTTAAAGATGACTCGTTGGCTTGTGATATTCCTTGTCTTAGTTTCCCTATGCTCTCTTTGCGTCCGTTCCGAAAACCCTCCACGTCGGGTGGGTTTCCCTCTCCAGCTCCTTCTACTGGTGGCAGTAGGGTCTGAGGTGGCGGTGGAGGCGGAGGAGGAGGTGGCAGTGGAGGCGGTGGTGGTGGAGGAGGAGGAGAAGGTTCATCAGGTGGCTCTGGGTCGGGTATGGTTCAGGAGGTTGTTGTGGTGGAAGTGGGGGTGGTGGTGGTGGAGGGGGCGGTGGAGGTGATGGCTACGGCTTTGGAAGCGGAAGCAGTGGCGGATATGATGGCGGCAGCATGCTAGGAAGGTTGGGAAGAGTACTTGATCAGTATTTCATAGAAAACGATCAAAACCATCAGTGTTTCCTTTATATATATATGTATGTGTTTTTGTTGCTGTTAAGTGTTAATCAAGTTGTAAAGCTTGTCTATGCACAAGCATGTTGTGTTTTATGAATAAAATTAAATTTTATGTCATTATGATAACATTTTGAATATATATATATTATATAGGTACGCGCTTTAAATTAGAATATATTAATTTTAGTGGTAAAAGAAAAATGTTATTTTAGTGGGATAAGGTGCTAGATCCTTTAAGCAATGTTAGGGGTTCGAATTCTGACGTTTGCCAATGAAGCAAATTGGGTTGGGAGGGTCACCCTCGCCTCTACAATATTCGATCCATATTAGTCGATTAATAGATTGGATACCGATTGTTATACCAAAAAGGGAATGCTATTCTTTCTGGAGATTTTGAATTCGAGCAGCTACGTCTGTAATGTATGTACGTTGTTAATTGGTTAATAAAGTTATAAGTAGCTACTACTTATAATCACCCCAAACTATTAAAAAAACAAACAATTAGTATAACCTTCACTTATAAAACTCGAATCCTAATTATTAACTATAAAAATTTAAGATATGAATTACAAATTTATTACAATTGAGTTGTGATTATAAATTTAGAGTTCTCTAAATAAAATTTTAATATATATTTATATATAATCATTATTAAAAAATATTAAATTTAGTTTAAAGATATAAAATCTTATACTTATTTTTATTTGAAACTATTATTAATTATTGTTTCATATACAACTGTTAGATTTATTTCAATGATTTTGATGCTTCTCAATTGACTTAGGTACGAGTAGACTAAAGATTCACTTTGCACGATAACCAAATCGATAAGAAGACATTTCCTATGCTAAAGAGACAAGAAAAGGGAGAGGAAAAGAGAGGTTTAAACGGGATCAAACGATACATACCAAAATTAGTAGGACTAAATCTTACTACACTCTAATTTGTTCATTTCAATTTACTTTTGGATCAAATTGTTCATTTCAATTGTCAAATGACAAAAATAAAAGATACATAAACGTTGGGCAAATGATGTAAATAGATATTATTTTAGGGTTTAACTCTAAATTGTCATTTTTCTTACCTAGGGCGGGAATCCTCAAAATAACACGCAATAACAAAAGAGGGGAAAAAAATCGAAAGTCCAAACAGTCATTAAGACCTGAAATTTTGAAAGAAGAAGAAGCGTGAGATAGAGAGAGATAGAAATGGAGAGCTCGAGTTCAAGTAGCGATTTGCAGAAGCTCATAGAAGCCATAAAAATTTCAGAGGTAAGCTTTTATTACATAACTTTTTTTTTTTGAAAATTTACTTTCCATTTTTTTACTCGTTCTCTTGTAATTTAAGAAATCAGCTATGGTGATAGTTCAGGATTTGTAGTTATGGAAACTGTAATGTTCTTTTGATACCCGAGAAAATTGTGTAGTGACGAAAATATTATTGTACATTGCAGGCGGTGGAAGGCCGAACTGAACTGATTTCCAAATTGGCAGATTTAAATTTGTCTGAGAAATCCGATGTGAATTCTCTTATTGAATCCTTAAATGTATCCCCTTTATTGCAGCTATTTATTTCAATTTTCTCCTCACATGATTTTATTTTTCTATTTCAATTATTTAATCTTTTCCTCAATGTTTACGGCTAGATGAAGAATTCTGGGAAGGATTTAAAGATAACGGACGATTTAAGTAAAGTTATTCTTCGAATAAGATTTGCATGTCTCCTTCGCTTGGCATGTTATTGTTCTTTCCTTGACAAGAAATGGGCATTCTGGGATGGCTATACTTGTTTGGATGTGTCACAATGTCTATTAAACAAGACTGTTCTGCATGTGGCTGCAAATATCTTGACTCAGATATATCCGGATGTTTATCGCAGTTCTTTTACTTGGATCAAAGGTATGTTTATTACTATTTACTTTGTAAGTTAGAATTGTCACCGTGCTTGTTGAATGCAACTCGAACTCAATGGTAGTTCCTTAAGCATTTTAATTACTTCTAGGCAAGCGTATGGTGTGGGAAGCATCTTAAAATGACTGTTATGTCAACTGAGGAATCTCCAGAAGAAGAACATTGCAGCCTCTTTTTCCAGGTACTTGATGGTTGATAGTTTGAGGCATCAATCTCCTGCAAAGAAAAGTTGTTAGTTCATACCAAACTTTCATTCTCGATCAAATAAAAAGAGTTCATCTTTGCAAAATTTGATTTGCTAGTATGAATGCTGTCAATTGTTTTTCTTTCCTTTCTTAGGATAAATAACTTTCTGTTTTCAAATTCATATCAATCATGTCATATTTTCTTATTTCACGTTGAGGGCAGGCTTTTGATTATGCTTTGATGTGGCTACTACCCAACATGAATTTAGGCATAGGTTCTGCTTATATTTTATAATTAAGTATTCATTACATGCCTGAATTTTTTGGCCTAATAATTTCAAACCTCAATAGAGGCAACTCTTCTATTGTTTTCCTTGATAGAAGGCAGTCAGCCCAAGGTAGAGTGTGAATATCATAAGGACGCATTAGAAAGTGCTTCGAGGCACCTAGGGTTACTCCCATACGAGCCTGCATATCATGCTAAGCTACTTCATTTACTACTCTTGAGACTATTTCTCTGTTGCATTAGAGTTGTTAATTCTCTCGTTCCATGATAAATATCATTTCCTTTCAGAGGAAATATGTAAGAGTTTTGCCTTTGGTGTTTTTTTTACTCGGAAACTGCTTTCATGTATCATATTACTTAAATTTTCTGTTTGTTTTGATAAACTTAATTTTGCAGTTGCTACTGGATTTTTGAGGTTCTCTGCTTCTAGCATTTCATCTATGGCTAGATACTCAGTTGTTTATGACAAGTCAATAGTGGAGGTTGTTGAAAAATCCATTCTAGAACAGTTGAATCTAGCAAAAGATGCAATATCTGAAATTAAGGTACCTAATTATTTTTTTTCATTAAAGGGATCTGTGCTGCTATATATCTATGTTACACTTAACTCATCATTTTTCTTGAAGTGCTTATGTTTGATGCATATTTGGAGATGTATACAGGAATATGCTCTTCCATATATATATATTATATGAAAAATCTTAAAGAAATAATTGAGCATACCTGTGTTGGATGTATATGTTTTCTGGAAACAAAGGCTTTTATCACCTTAAAATTCTGTTAATGCATATATATATATATATATATATATATTCTTCTTAAAAGTTTGTTAGGTGTCCACTGCACAACCTTCAGTTAGAATTTAGATTAAAAAAGAATTGTTGAAGACAAACTGCCTGGCTTTCTAAAAAGAACCAGAGTTAATTATCAGATTTGCCTGCATTGAGATCCAACTTTAAGCTTTGGAATTAGTGGTCTCAATATGTAAAAAGTCTAGTCTAAATGTGGCTAATGTTCACTTGGTAAATATGAGAAACTTATAGAAACAAGAGAAGTGTAATATTTACTGCTTCCCTTTTCTTTGTACTCCAAGTTATAAATCTAACAAAAGATAATCCAATTTGATCTATTTCTGTCTTCCTTGATATAGAGTTTAGAAACATACCTTAATAAAGTCTTAGAAGATACCCTCATTAGGTTTATAAACATACATTTAATAAATAGAGCTCAAAGTGAGATGAATTTTGTTTAAGGTGCCTCTCAAATATGTTGGTTAACCTGAGCTTTTATCTCTTTACTACTCAATGGGTTATGTTTTTTCACTTCCTCACGTCCTGGTATGCTGATTCACTTTGGGATGGCAAATGTCAACATCATTTTCTCTTGATTTCTTATCTCTCAATTTGGATCGTACTTCTTCAATAACTTCGTGGCAATGGTATTGGTACAATTTAATTAATTATCAAAAGATGCATGTCTTACAGCATTTTTTATGAAGAAATTATATTTGCTTCCTGCTCTGTTTTCTGTTATCAGAAGAATCTAGTTGGCATCATCTGCTGCTGAAGTTTTGAATAATTTTGTCTCTTTTCTTTTTCAAACAGAATATTGACTCAATCGGTGGTGAGGTTTTAAAGGCTGCACAAGCAATCATTGATGCTTCCATAAGACTCTGCAAGGAGTATCACCAAGTAATAAATTGGGATTTCTCTGGTGCAGAACTTGAAATAATGAGAACAGCATGGAATGTAAACAGGCTTGCATTATGAATCATGTCATGAACATAATAACAGTTACACTAGAAAAACTGTTTGAATTGGGTGTTCTTGCTGCAAACGATGGTGGAAGTCTTGTGACCATTCTTAATGTTTCGTGGAAAGGTTTGGTCACCTTGCTTCAGCTATCCAAGGGAAAATTGCCATTAAAAGTGAAGGTAGCAGATATTGTTGTGACTTTAATTTCACTAGTCAATGGTTCACTGAAATGTGCAGCTGAGAGTTGGTCTTCTCCTAAGGAGATGGTTTCTGTAACTGAAGCTAGAAGGATTTTGTTCCAATAAAGTTTACCTGATTAATGCAGTAAAGATATCTTCCCTACATCCATGCCAGACATATACAGTTTATAGAGATTTAGCACTCTGTGTCTTGATGATCTCGACCTTTAAATTATTAGTGAGCAATGAAAAACTAATGAAAGATGTCAGCGAGGTTATGGCAGAACTTTTGGATAAAACATCCTTGGATTTGCTTAGTTCTTTGCTAAATTCAACTGATGTGAAGCAGGAATACAAATATGAACTTGTTGATTGGTTATTCTTTGATAACTGCTGGTCAGATGCTAATGAAAATCCCATTAGTAAATGTAGGATGACTTCATTGGATGAGATATTTTCAGTGAATTGTGAAACTATGCCTAGATCAAAAGTATTGGTGCTTGGTCAAGTGTCAATCTTTTCCAGTTTTCTGAGATACCCCAATGATTTGGAGGATGATGTAAAACTTCTGATTGCCAGGAAACTTGATTGGTTTATGAATTTAATAATCGATGAAGAGGTTTATTCTTCCATTTTTGTATCACAGATTCCACTATTGTATGTTTCTGGAGAAACTGTGGAGTTAATTTGGGAGCACATGTTTTCAGCTCTTTTGCAAGCCTTAAAAACCTTCATGATAGATGTATCTTCAACTTTAGCTTGGGAGTTTGGATCTTTCCTGGTTAAGAATTTCCTGCATCCTCATTTCCTTTGCTCAGAAATCATAATGGAACTTTGGTGCTTTTGGTTCGGCATGCTGAGTTAGAGTTGGTGAATGACATCATCCTTGAGGTATGTGCATTAATGAAGTTAGTATCATCTCCAGAGTCAGTTTTTGTTCCGGATTCTAGTCTCCGGAAAATGGCGAAATCAGTCTGCACACTTCTCTTATTCAGCAGCAAATCGGTGGTGGATTGTGTTTATAGTTTTGTGACTGGTGATGATAGATCTCAGTTATCATCAGTTCTATATGCAGCCTTGCTTTTGGAAGGCTTTCCACTGAACTCGCTATCAACAAACATGAGAAGTATTGCTAAAGAAAAAATCATTTCTGACTATTTTGGTTTCATTGATAGTTTTGATGACAAATCATTGACTCTCTCCAGTCCTGAATTTGGGCTTCCAGTTTTTTCATTATCTGCTTCATTGCAGTCACTGTAAGTTCTGCCGCTCTGTTAATTCAGTCATGATTTTCTAATTGTTTCATTCAAAACGAAAAATAGAAATAGCAATGTTTTGTTGAAGTTCCTAATTCTTTTCAATCAAACCGAATAAAATCACATAACCATAAGTGCGGGTACTGTAAATTTCTCAGACAAAGGATGTTGTGTCCACTCATTTGATATACTTCGTCTCTTCATTTTTCTCGTAGTACCCATATTTTGGCTCTCGTGACCTATATCTAGACCCTTCGAACACATGGAAAACTTAAAAAAATATTCGACATTCAGACACACCCGAATCTGATTTTCATAAATGCTTATGTAACCATCTTTAGTTTCTACCATTAAGATCTGCCGAAATATTTTTCTTCTAACAAGAACTGTGATTCTATTTATGGCGTTTCAAATTGATTTGTGAGTTACAATACAGACTGAATGAAATTACTCTTTCATGCAGCCAGGTGACCATATCTGACACGGACATGAAGACCTTGAAGTTCCTAGTTGCTATTATTAGTGGCTGCAGGAATTCTGTGGACAAATTAAAGAAGGAAGTTTGTTGTAAGCTTTTGAATCAGACGTTAGGGATTAGCTCAAATTTGAGTCACCTATATGAATCTGATGAAATGGAGGAAGTCATCTTGGAGCTTCACAATTTGTTTGTTGTGGGACCAGCAGCTTCTGATACTGTTCTGAACCAATGCAAACCCGGACTGGCACTTTTCTTGGCCGGAACTAGTGCCATGGCGATGTCGGAAAGTGATAATTGCCCTAAAAGTATTGCTGTATGGGAGTTGTATCACATGGTTTTGAGAGAAAGGCACTGGGCATTTGTTCATCTAAGCATTGCAGCATTCGGATATTTTGCTGCTCGCACTAGCTGCAATCAGCTATGGAGATTTATGCCTCAAGATGCAGCACTTTCATACGATATAATATCTGGAAATGATGCGAATGAAGACCGATTTATGTCCGAGTTTAAGGCTTTTCTTGAGAAAGAAAGGGCTCTTCCCGCTGTTATGTCCAGCAGCACTGAGCAACAGCTGCTACTTCTTGAGGAAGGTTTGGCTCTAAAACAACTGGTTCAGAAGGTCTCAAGTATCAATTTAGATGATGCAAGATTTGATAAAACTGATATTGATGATGAAAACCAACCAAACAAGAGAAGGAAACTTCCTGATGGAATAAACAGAGGCGTGGAACTGTTGCAAGATGGCTTGAAAGTTATCGGCGACTGTCTTTCACAGTGGCAAACTAATCAGGTAGAGTCTGCTGAACTTCATGACAGGTTAATGACCCACTTTTCTATGCTTGAAAATGTGATTTCTCACCTGCAAATTCTAAGTGACAGTAGTTAAGTCCCGAGGTCGTAAACCACCATTCTCCAGTTTCGGCCTTCGCCGCTACCACAATCGACCATGGTAACATGGCCATAATCATAGTAAAAAAATGTAATAGGAATGCATCCATGACTGCAATTTAAATCCTCGGTTAAGTAATCATTTAAGCTGTGTTCATGCGCATATATGGTGGATTTCTTAGGTTTTATAGGTCACGCAAGTACAAAGCTTGTTCTTTAACCAAAAGGGTAAACTTAACAACAGATTTTGTGGTCAAATTTAATCTCTTCATGCAATGCTATGTTTTGCAGAGTTGATGTAGGAGTTCCTTCTCATTTACTTTGTTTATATTTCTTGCTGGTGCAAAGCCCTTATTAGTCAAATTTTTTGGTGTGAAATAATGACCTGGAGTTTGATATTTATAAGAATAAATGGTTGTCCTTTGTTTCCATATGTAATGGGGGTAAGGGGAGGTAAGATAGTAGGCTGCCCCCAACACTAGGTTAAGAGCAGCTTCCGTAGGAGACCTCCAAATTATGAAATGCTCAACCACCGCAAAAACGTTTATTATAAAAAGCTCAACCACCGCAAAATCTATCAAAATAAAAATAAAATCTTATTTAGAATATTACAAGATTTTTTTCCTTCTCTTTTATTTACATTATCCAACTTAGAATGGATTAGGTGCTAATTAATTAGTCAAATTTATTTTAATTAAATCCCCTTATTAAAGTCCTCCCTGAATTAATAAACCTATTAATGAACAATGAATGTTAAACTTTACAACTGTCACATATTAATACTAATCTTCTGGCTTTGGCCTCTAAGAAAAAGTGTTTAGAATTTACTGCAATAGATTTCCTACTTGTTTTACCGAATCCACGATGCTATAAAAAATAAAATCCCCCACTGTCATTACTTACACCATGGTTTACCTCAAAGAAACATCGGTGACATTAATGGTGGCACTTTGCATGACCTTCCCGTCGGAATTTGCAATAGCCGAAGATATTTTGTGGGTCAACTATCATATCCACATAACCAACGATTTGCCGATGTCAGAATCGGAATCCGGTGAGCCGTCATTGTATATGCATTGTAAGTATAAGAACAAAGATCTCGGTGAAAAAGGCATGATTCAACACGAGGATTACACATGGGATACGAAGATAAACCTGTTCAGGACCACCCTGTTCTTCTGCCATGCAGTGTGGGTGAATCATAAGGAGAGGCATTTTGTTGCTTTCAAGGCCACTCGAGATGAAAATCAGTGCATGGTTTATCATTTTTCTTGCTTGTGGATGGCGAGGGAGGATGGGATTTATTTTAGCAAAGATCAGTTTGTTTGGACTAATGCATACCCATGGTAGATTCTTGTTGAAGTGATCATTGGGAATAAATAAATCCTTTCTTTTTAACAACCTAATAATCCAATTTTTTTTTATTTTGTTTTGTCACGATTCAGTAAATGAGGGATAGGGTTCATCACCCGAAACTCAATAATATTTGAAATTACCCTTTAACGTTGTCAATATGAACAAGATAATTATACCGGTCGTAGATGATTCATTTCGTTAATTTGGTGAAAAACTATTGTTGAAGATTAGATGACGGTTAATTGATAATAAGTGTATTCAATATGAAGAAGAGAATAAATTATTGAGTGTTGGGATAGATTCTTTTTGGAAGTAGTTGAAGAGCTCTTTCTTTGTCTCTCATCGAGGTTTATTTATTAACCCTCTATGTATGTTTATGACAAGCCTATAATCGTCAATGTTATTTATAAACATGTCATTAAATTTAGGTTAGACACATCTCTTAAGTATATCAAAGATCTTATCAAAAATTTATAATCGACCATAGAATTTTCTTTGCTTTCTGGAAATTAAAATCAATGTATAAGAAAACAATAATATATACCTTAAGAACAAGTCGTGAAAAATGCAATATCTTTTGCACTAAACCAAAATTAAAAGAAACCAATTTATATATTTTCCACTATGTTTCATAAAATCAGATTAAATTTTAGAAGATGATAATTATTCTAAACGTTTTAGGCAAATTCAAATAACGTGAGATTTGAAGCCAACACTTCAAAATTCGGTGATGAATTGGGCAAGCCATTTGACTCAACTGGTACGCACTCGTAGTTGTGCGAAGAATGTAAGGTTAAACATGTCATTTCAAGAATGAAAAAAGTAATCAATTTTCAGCATTTTAGGGTTTCAAGTTCGTTAAGCCACTGGCGGGAAGTCATCGCTGAAATTTCCCCAATCCAAATCCAATCGCAGAACTCAAAAAAAAAAAGAAAAAAAGAAATTCTCTTCTGTTTAATGAAATGCTAATTAATTTCGTTTTGAAATTGTTTTTTCACCCCAAATTTACAGATTTGGAAGCACTGCCCCATATTCTCCAGAAAAAGTATGCATTAATGCGTGATCTCGACAGAAGTTTACAAGGTATTTTTTTGAAACTTAATTTTTGCTTGTTCGGGATTCATTTGAAATTTATGATTTTACTTTGTTGACAAACCAACAAATAGACCCCTCATAGATATAAAATTCAAAATCCAATAGGAGCAATGAAACGAAATCCTTTTTCTAAAAGAAAAATAAATTTGTTTCCAACCTTTGGCTATTTTATATGAACATAAATTTCGAGGCAAAATGAACAGCGTTGTAAACAAGAAATAGAGGATATAAAACGAGGCGTGATGGCTGAAACCGTTAGATTTTCTGACGAGGCACTTGACGAACAAAAACATGGCATTAGGATTGCTGATGAGAAGATTGGTTTGGCAATTCAAACATATGATTTGGTGCGTGGTTATATGTCAAGCCTTGGATTTTATTATATCTCTGCATGTATTTATGTTCTTTTGCAATAACTATGATTGAGAAACCGTTTCCTTTTTTATTCTTGGTTGCTTTGTTTTAAAAAGCGCAGGGGGCACGTGAGCGCCTACAAAAGGCGCACTCCTTCACCCTTTGCGCCTCAGTGCGCCTTGCTCCTTTTAAAACTAAGCTTGGTGGGATTTTGTACTATTCTAAGGCAGTGTTTTAATGTAGAGAATGCCTTAAATTACTTTAGCATTGGCTACCTTGAAGAGAGAGGTGGTGTTACTATAATATTTTAAACTAGTTGCTCAGACCTGGATGTGAGTCTCGAGCAGGTAATCTCAATTGTTATAGAAAATTTTCATGTATTCGGAGGGTCGTTGGAGGGTGTTGGGCATGAGTGCTTAAAATATGAACAATTGGAACATATAGTTTTTACATGGATATTGCATTTTATGTTAAAACCTTTAAATCTTACTCTGTTACATGGACCATCGGCGTAAGAGCTATAAATACAAAGTCATATCAATAACATGGTCAATCATTTTCTTATGAATAAATATTTGTATCATTCCTATGTTGGAAACAAATCGAAGTTGATTGGTTTTGTTCATTGATATTAGCTTTAAACGAAACGTTTTAAGATTTCAGGGATGGATGGAATTATTTTTGCTTCCTTATCACATATTCCGTTTATTATATATAATATCTTCAGGTTGATTCACATATACAACTACTTGATCAATATTTGAAAATGTCCGATGAAGAGCTACGTCGCGGTATACTCTGATTTTTCCACTTCCACAACTATTATCTTAACTTTTCCTTTAAGCCCTTCTTCCTTTGTCATATTTTGAATCTTTACTCTTAATATATTTTTCAACAGAAAGAGAGAATGTAGCAGCTACTGCAGAACCTGCTCCAAGTCGTGATAGTACCACTAAATCTGGAAGGTCTAGTCAAAGTGGAAGAGGAGGCCGTAAAAAGTATGCTTCTATCTTATATGAAGCTCATTTCTGGTTTCCTTATAGACTATTCACTTGTCATCCAATTAGTATATTTATAAAATTTTGTGGCTTTTGCAAAAAGTTGTCATACCAGTGTGAAAGAGACTCCAGAATCAAGAGAAATATATTATTTTTTCTTAAAAAAATGTCAAATTTTGAGTTTGGAATGATCGAACTGAGAAAACATCCTTGAATTCCTTAAATTATATGCAACAGAAATTTCACTAATTAAATACATGATAGCATTTGAACCACATATTTTTGTAGAGCACGCCTGGCAACAGCAGCAGCAGAAAACCCGGCTGGCATGGAATTAGACTTGCCAGTGGATTCTAATGAACCCACTTACTGTCTGTTCAACCAAGTTAGCTACGGAGAGATGGTGGCATGTGATAACCCCAGTGCAAGTAACTAACTTCTTTATATATCTCTCTCTTAGAGACTATTATCATTATCACTCCCTATTGATCTGATGAAACTCTTTGCCCATTTTACCAGCGCAAGATAGAATGGTTTCACTTCGGGTGGTTGGTCTGAGAGAACAACCGAGAGGGAAATGAAATTGTTCAGATTGAATGGTAATGAAAAACCGTCGTAAAGGCAGATCACGGTAAACGTTATTTCGGGGAAGCTATGGTAATGCATTTTTGTATTGCCTTTAATCTGAAAACTATAGTTTCATGACCATATAATCATGCTATTAACAACTTCATGATTCTTTTTTACCATCAGTTTTTAGGAACCTTTGGTTTTTAATGATTTTAGTTTTGCTATATAGCTATTTGGATGATTGTACCATTTTGTTCGGAGCTTGAGATATATCTTTTGAACTTGATATATCCTTGGAAGGTAAGGATAAGCTTGGTGAAGGGTTTTAAACCCTTAGCATTTCCTAGCCGATTTAAGTTCGTTTTAAGCTTTCCAAATCTGTTTGTTTACTTTTCTCAAGTCCCTTAATGTGTTGTAACACATTCTTCATTCATTGATCAGTGGAAGAAAAACGTGAGAGTTCCAAAGGAAAAAACAAGGAGAAATTGATGCTTAGTTGAATTGGAGGAACTCGTGTATGCTTGGAAACACTTCTAAATCTTTCTTATTGTGTGAAGATCATAAACATGTAGTTTGTTGTGAAATAAAAACTGAACCTAAATTGTATTACAACCTTGGACGAAAAATTTCCCATTACCCAAACAAATCAGCAAACACTTGCATTACAATTGACATAAAAAAATAGGCAAAAGCAATTAAAAGTTCAATTTCTTTTTCTCTCCTGGTCATTCAACAAGCCAAAATTTGCCGAATAGGTTTGCAATTTCATCAAAAACAAAATAAAAAAGGAGTAACTTTCGCTAATCTAATCGAAGCCCATTACAACCAAACTCCTAAACTAACTTTAAAAAAAAGATTAAAAAGAAAAAAGACCCAAAATTTTAAAAGAGCGAGTGAGAGGGGATCAGCTCACCAGAAGCCTATAACTGCTTATGCTTCCTCATTTCCAATATCTTCCTATGTGAATTCGAATGTAACTTACTCGAAAACGTCGGGCTGCTTGCCGGACGATACTCTGGCACCAAACGCCCCGACTTATATCTCACTCCACAAGCATTGCAAAGCGTTTTGGGCCCAAGCGGCCCTGCCCTCCATTGCGGTGTCTTTTCCGCACCGCAATGCTGGCATTTCCTTCCCATACTCCTCCATTGATTTCCCTTGGCTGCGGTGGTGGTCACTTTCTCATGAACCCACCACCATCTGTTTCCCTGCTCCCTGCATTTGCGGAGACGCTTCGACCTCGCTTTTACTGGGATCTTGACGTTGCTTAAACAATACATTATGATGTTACCGTCCGTTAAGGTTACCGACGTCGAGCTTTGATGCTTTGTCCCCGTCTCTATAACATCCACGAATGATGTTTCCACTGCTGGAAATGCATCCTTGTTTGATAACCATTCCAGTTCTTCCTCTACAGATTCCTGCAAAATTAACACATCTGGTTTAACTCAATCCATTTGAACAAGTTAAAAATTTTGGTAAATTATTTATTTGGTCACCCACCTATTACTTAGTTTATGTTCTGGTTTTTCAATTTTTTTCTCAAAGATTGCATTTGATTCACGGAATGTAAGATTACCAGTAAGAATGTAAGATTACCAGTGAGAATAGGATTACTGAGAATGTTATATTTTGTGTTTGGTTGGTTTAGCAGGAATGTAAGATTACATATTTAGTTAAAAGAATAAAAGATTATTGGAATATATTTGATCAAATTGTCCTTATTATATATTTATTTTTTTAACAAGTTGAAAAATATTTATATATTTTCTTTAAAAATTTTAAATTCATAAAATTTATATAATTTTTTTACAAAATTAAAAATATAAAAAGATTTAATAAAAAGGTAAAATTTTATTTTAATTTCTGAATTTCATATAAAATTTTAATTATAATTTTTTTTGTAAATCTAAAATAGTTTAAAGATAAATTTGTAATTTAATTTTCGTAGAATTTTTTTTATTCAATGACAGAAGAAAGATATTTTTTAAAAAAAAATTAAGGACATTTTAGTCCAAAACACCGGTAATTCAACAATACCTAAAAAAAAAGGTAATGACATTCCCGGTAATATACAAAAAAAATTCACTATTAATAATCTTACATTATCGAATCGAAAATGAGATTTTCGACTAATCAAACGGAAGAATGTGAATTCCATTTCCATAGAAATTCCACATTACTCTATCCAAATGCTCTAATTATTTACTACTTAACTAATTTTCACTAAACAGAAATTTATTACCACTTTTCCCTAAATAAGTATATTGATTTATGATGAGCTACGTTAGTTGGGAATGAAAAAGACAAAAGTAGGTCTACTAGGATTCACGTGCGACAAACAAAAGATAATGTTGGAAAGTTGGACAAAACGGACTTTTCGCATCGGAATGGAATTATAAGAAAACGGAGTGCTCGTATCCATTTTTCGCTTCGCTGGGACATTTATTACTAGGATAAGATCAAGAACTGATACTTCCCTCTCCTTTGAATTATCACAATTCCAAAAACACTCTCAACATGACGCCCATACTACGCTGTCTTATTCAATAGAGTGAATAAACATGATGGGTAAAATCGTCCTAATAAAAAAGGGGATCAATCAGTAATAGGAGAATGCAAAGAATCAGTTTGGACTAAATTATAAACAAAGTCACGTAATTCAATTAAACGCCGTCGGTTATGACCCGACCCGGGTCATTTCCCAATCCTTACTCGGGCGACGGAGACTCGGCCGAGTTAGCGGCGAACTCGGTGTTTTTGCAGTCGCCGTGGAGAAAGGCAAAAGTAATTAGATTGGAAGAGAGGAAAAATGACTTACTGAAAAAGAAGAGTTGTTAGGGTTAAGAGAAGAGGAGGAGGAAGAGTTAGTCTTCGAGGATTTGTTGTTGTCTTCTTCGTCTTCTTCTCCGACGTCGGAGGCGAAGTCCAATAAGGTGTCATCAAAACAGGCGGCCATGTCAAACGCTTTCATTTCTCAACGATAAGGTAAAAGAGGGAAATGTTTTCTCTTTTATCGATCTAGTGCGAAAACGAGGGATGCCGTTTCTTAGGGTTCCTTTTCTTTGACATATAACGGTGGTGAGTAACGTTTGTCTGCAAATATGGCCCACATTCTTTTTTACCCTTTTTCATGAAATCAGTACCGTTTGATGAATCTTTGGTGAGTTATTCTGCACTTGGATATATGAAAATGCACTAAATTTGTGTGCTGAAGAAAAAGTTCAGAAAATATTAATTTTGAAAATTATTTAGAGAGAAAAGATGAATGCAATGATAAATATCATAATATATAAATAAGTGTCCAAACTGTATCGTTTTTTTAAGTGTTACTTAATTTTTCGGTTAATCTAAGTGTCCAACATTACAAACGTTGTCATTTTAGGTGTCTGACTGTAATTGTCGTTAAAAAACTCATTAAGTGACACATTTCACATTCTGATAATTTTGAAAAAATATTTTTTAAATTTTTTTAAAATTTTTATTTTTTAAAAACCATAATTCTCTTAAATTACAAAAAAAAATCTCAAATCCCTAAAATCATAAATTCCTAATCCTAAACTACAACACCGTCTTTGTTGGTCACGACCATCGCCTTCGATATCATCCTTGCCATCTCTCTAGTCAAGCATCGTCATCGATTGATCATCAGGATCGCGTGGGGTCACGATTTGCAGTGTCGATTGGCTTTTGTCTCGATAGATTTTCATGGGGTTATTAGTCGTCGGGTGGAGGTTCGACGGCAATAAACATGGATTTAGGGGTTGAAATTATAGTTTTCAAAGTTTTGGTTTTTTTAAGTTTTCGATTTTTTTAAATATAATTCTATTTTTTTTACTTTAAACAAAAATTTCAAAATTACCACAACGTGACACGTATTACTTAACGAAAATTTTTAACGGGCGTTACGGACAAGATACCTAAAGTAGTAACGTTTGTGACGTTAGGCACTTGGATTGACCGTAACAAATTTTAGGCACCGTTTTAAGAAAAAACAATATAGTTTGAACACTTATTTTTATATTAAGCTTAAATATTAAATTGTCATAATTGAAATTAATTTTAGTAAATTTATCAAATAATTATCGACAACTTTAGTAATTTTTTATGATTTTAGGTTCAAATGTAGAGGAAATTAAAAATGTATGTACTAAAATGTTTTTTTAAATGATTTTATAATAGAAACAGTAAGTTTAAAAGTTATGTTGATGTTTTAACTATAAGTATATGAAATTAAAATTACAAGGATCGAAATGGAAAAATAGAAGTTTAAAATTGTGTGTTTCATTTTAAATTTTAAGGTATTTATCTATGACTTCTTATTTTCTATCAGTGCTGATGGGAACAAAATGCGTTACAGCGGCTATAGCGGTTTAGGTTTTTTTTTAAGCGGAGAGTCACAATCGATGAGGGGTTGCTATTGATCGCTGTCAAAGTTTTTGTATTCTTTAGGAGGTAACATAGGATTGAATAGTGATGGAAAACAAAGGGCTGATCTTTCATCTCGATAAACAATTAATCTTGAAGTTTACCCATTTTAAAATTTAGGAGTAAATTTGATAACAAAGACAATTGAGGGGTCGATTTGACTAAACTAATCAAGTTTGAGAATTATCTTATGTTCTAAGAAGAGAAGAAAACAATAACCATTTATCAATATTAACTTCAAGTCACTAACATGGTAAGTAATAAACAATATGATGTTGTTTAAACTATTTCCAGTTTGAAATATATATATTAAAAGACATATTTATCAAAATCGGATTACAAATCAATTTAGATCAGTTAAATAAAATCCTAAAAAAATGGGGATGATAATTAACCTTAAGCCGCCACGTGCAGTTGTCCAAAACGTACAAAGAAATATATACTCCAACACTGTACTCAACTTTCTGTATTCTGCGTCTCTTGCTGATCGACAACTGGAAGATGACGGAGTCAGTGATAAGAAATAAGCCAGGAATGGCAAGCGTGAAGGACATGCCGGTTCTCCAAGACGGGCCTCCTCCGGGTGGGTTCGCCCCGGTCCGATACGCTCGTCGGATACCTAACAAGGGCCCCAGTGCTATGGCTATTTTTCTAGCTGCTTTTGGTGCCTTCTCTTATGGAATGTATCAGGTCGGCAAAGGGAACAAGATCCGCAGGTTCTTCCTTCTTTTCTCTGCAAAATCCTCAATTTCTCTTCTTTATTGGGTTTTAGTGTCCCCCACCCTTTGTTTTGCTTGAATTGATCGTTAGGATCTCAAATTATGATAATTCCACAGGTCCTTGCTTTTGCTTTCTCTGGAAGTCCCTTAAATTATCTTCTTTTATTGATTATTTTAGTCTTGTTCACATCTATGATAATTCCGCAAGCCCTTGCTTTTGTTTTCTCTAGAAAATCCTTATATTCTCTTATTTTAATGATTTCGTGTTCAGTGTATATATTCTCATTTTATTGGAATCCTAAGCTATTTTTGCATTGGGTTTTAGAGTTTTTTTTTGCTTGAAGTGATTGTTAAGATCTCAATGCTCGTTATATCAATTTGATCAAAAGCTTTTGATCAAATTCAAGCTTTTTTTTTTTATCTTTTCATGAAACCTAGAGTTCCATCTTGTTCAATTGCTTAACTTGTATGGTTTTTTGTCTGTGGGTGTTTTTTGGCATGTAATTTTCAAATTAGAGTTTGGAAATTTGGAGGGTTCTACTGTTTATTAGATCATGTCTTGTGTCCTTTAGGATCTTGTTGGAATAATGCTATTATTATTTTTTGGGCTATTAAATGATTTCCAGTGTTCTTTTAAGGATTTGCTTGCTTTCTTTACACCAGTGATGGATGAAGTGATTTAGGTGTTTTGGGGAGTGAACTGATTATTTGGGGCAATTCTTTTTGGTTAGACTTTTTTGTTAATTTGGCTCCTTATTACGTTCTGTCTCAAGTAGCAGCTTCGTGTCCCCCCCCAATTAAATAGCTGTTTTAGGTTGGATTATTGTGATTGTGTAATGATGTTGGTCTTGGCTTTTGATTATCTTATGTGTATTGTGGCGATTAGAATTGTTGTTTTTCAAATGGCTTTTAGTATGTAATCTATGGAGGTTGTTAGGAGGGGGAAAACGAAAGCCAAAGTTTAGACCTACATTACTTGGATGTGGGCATGAGTGTTGGAAACAATGTGTCCAGCATAGGTATTTATTAAAGCTTTTCCATGCATGTGTCAAACATGAGCACTTCAAGAAAAATGAAGAGCTAGAGTAACATAGATTGAGATACTACAATGTACTGCCAATGCTATTATTTGGTTTTGGCATACAGTCGATGTGTAATAATTTCATGAGCCTGATATTTTGTGCTGGTTTTAGCAAATCATCAGCCCTTCTCTGGGAAAAAGAAGCAGTTACTGAGTCAGGTAAGGTGTCTTTCGTAAACCCATTATGTTTTTTCTGCACTTAAAATAGCAATTATGGAGGTTTGTCAAAACTATCTTGTGTATGTAATATCGAAGAGAGTGCATTTGAACATGATCTTTTTATTTGGTTGGTGATGAATTATTGGTCTTCCAATTGTCAGTCGGTACTTGGTTGGGAATATGTATGAATGTTTGCCTCCTCTGAAGAACAGACATGGGAATGGGATACACATACAACAAATAGAGACCCTACAATATGGCAGTTTAGAAAAATAAATTAGGACATAACACTGGAAGATATGACAATTGGGAATGTAGTAAACAAAAATATATGTTAAATAATTCAATTCCATATATAAATGATTTTTTTTACTTTTTCCCATCGAATTCTTTTTCTTTAAAAATGTTCTAAGCAGTCAAATTGATTTCGATTATTACTGTTGATTTTAAGTAGTATCTCAACCATTCGACATTGAACGTTCATACCCCTGACATCCCTGGTGCTCAAACCCGGGACCTCAAGGAATAACAACAATTCCATTGGGCAATGTTTTATCTAGCTGAGGAACTTTGCTTCTATATTATCTAGACCTTTTGTTTCCTAAAGCACCAGTGTTCAGTATCTGGACCGACTCATGTTCGAACATGGCTATGAGGGGGATGATCCTCCAAATGTATGAATAACTTGGAAAAATCATACCGATGTTGGACACTTCAGTGCCTCTGTAACATGGCATAGCTTCTTTAATGGGAGTTGTGCAAGATGGTTTATGTATTTCAATTAAGTAGCCATCTATTGTTTTTATCTTTGACGTATGGAGATGTTTGAAATTCTTTATGCATCATTAGTTTAATGGATTTTTGTGATAAGAGAGTCATAATGAAGTAGCATGAAGGAAATAAAATGAATGAATGAGTGTAATAAGCTCAGGTTGTTTCTGTTTTGAGTGTGTGCTTTAGATACTGGTCTTGATTTATTTGATTAGGATAAAGAAGTTTAACTATCATAGTGATATAAATGAAAGCAAATATAAAAGTTGATTAAAAAAGTTGCATTAACTTTTGTGTTTTCATAAGTTGGTCGATATTATTGGCTATGGTTTCCATCTTTGTCCAGGCTGCAAGGCACACTTTAGGGGCTAGAATCCTTATATTGCCTCAGCCGTAGAGCCCAAAAAAAGCATTAGCGTGCGTGAATTATGGTGCTATATGTGAATGTTTGTGAGTATGCCTTTATGTGTGTGTATACATAGTTACGATCAAAACTCTGATTAGTAATGTGTGCTCTAGTTGATCTACAAAGCAACAATATCTCGTGAGTGCAAAAAAAGCACTAGCGTGCGTGAATTATGGTGCTATATGTTTATGTGTGATTTTATGTTTGTGTGCGTATGCATATTGTTACGACTGTAAACTCCGATGTGTGGTCTGGTTGATTGACTACGGATGCACAATTTTATTGGTCAACATGTATGATTTCCATAGGATACACAACATATTGTTGTTCAGTACTCATATATATATTAAGTAGAGAGTTGCATACCATCTCCTTTCTTGCGAGAGCACGAACAAAAAGGTCTAAGGAGCCTTTATTTTCTTGTGCTAAGCTGCATGGCATGGATGTGTCTAGCCTCGACAATATTGGTTGTCACTGGTAAATTGTCTTAGAGGAGGCAAATTCTGTATGCTTGGTTCGAGTTTGGTTGCCGGAGTAAGGTAGTCTTTGTTTGTGCTCTCGCAAGAAAATGGATTGCTTTTCTCTTCATTTGAAGTACTCATTTCTGAAATGCATGTTTCAAATCTAAATAAATAGATTGGAATATTGCCATTTTTAAAAGAAATAAGATTGAAATATTTAACATTTTATAGGGCATTGAAGGAAGAAAAGTATGCTGCACGTAGAGCAATATTGCCGGTGCTTCAAGCTGAAGAAGATGAAAGGTATTGAACTATTCATACCACTTCAAAGATTTCCGTATCCGAAACGTACCGACTATTTCCATGTTTGCATGCTGTTATTTCTTAGATTTGTCAAAGAGTGGAAGAAGTATCTCGAGTATGAGGCCGAAGTGATGAAGGATGTGCCAGGTTGGAAAGTAGGCGAAAATGTATACAATTCCGGGAGATGGATGCCTCCTGCAACTGGCGAGCTCCGTCCCGAAGTTTGGTGATACCTTTTCCTGTAAACTCTTTGACCTGAACTGGTGTGTTTTCTCTTCATGCAAGCCTTTTATGTTCCCTGGTCTTGTTCGCAGTGTGCTAAATAAAAAATTGGGAAAGAAACTTATTTCTGTAACAAGATTATCACCGGATCCGATCAGTATTCCTTTACCTTCACCTTCATCTTCCTCCTATTCCGAACATATTAAGGAAAATACCCTTGCTGTAAAAGTAATTTCCATGAGAAATGTTGTAGGAAGGGACGTCTAGCAGTTGCCACCTATGTCGGGTACGAGTGTTGGATAAGGATATGCATCCGACACAGTATGGCCTATCTTCTTTTCGAGAATATTTAGAGGTTGTATCTTCGTTTCAACGTGTCGGATATGAGTATCGAACGTGATTACTTAAAGAAAAAGTCACAACATAAGTTGCCACTACCGCGCTTGAACTCTTGGTTGAATTACATTTTACAAACATGTCCTTGTTGATAATAAAAAATAAAGGTAAAATAATATTTTTAGCCTTTAATATTTATATAATTCTTTTGATGAATAAAAGAATAACTAACACAGCTTAACCTAAGATGAGCTGGTCTCTGGCTTCCTCTTGGAGCAATGAGAGTACTCCCTCTGGTGGGTTTTAATATTTATAATTAAAATAATCTTAATTTTGTTTTCAAATATTTTTTTTAAAAATTACTCAATCACAGGTGTACATGTATTAAAGGAAAAAGTTACTTATATCAGGTCGTTCTTATTTGCTCATTCTCTAAATATGTGGACTAAATTGTTTTTATGGAGACGGATCAATTGTGTTACAGATAAACCCAATAAGTTTGTGGTAATTTAAGACCAACCTACTAACTACTATATCAGAGGAGTGCAAGAAGAACATGCAACTGAATCCTGGTTCAAAAAAGCGAAGGATGAGCACATGCAATCCCAACCAAACCCATCTTGAACCTCATTTCAACACAAAACAACATTAAATGCAAAATTAAGCCCATATGCTCTGCTTATTTAAACCAAATTGCCCTCAAGTTCGAGACTTTCGATCCCTTCGATGTTGCTGCCTCTTTTATTCATAATCACGAATCACTTGAAAACACCTAAACTAACACGTTCAAATATAAAGCTCAATTGTGTACTAAGGGGATGAGAAATAATAAGGAAACTTGCATATCTAATTTTTCTTTTAAGGTGAAATAAAATTTTAAATTTTATTTTTGAATTTCTGAATCTACCACTGCCAACACATACACTTACCTTAGTCATGTCTCATTAAAACAACTACTTCACTATTTTTTACATAATTCATGGGGATCATAGTTAATGCCATGAGATAACGACATGCATAATGATCGCCCAATAAAATAGACACTAAGATTTTATATGAAAAATTCTTTCAGGAAAAACTATAGGTAGAAAATGAGAAAATTCACTAATGTCAAGAAAATAAAAATACAAAAAAAAAAAAAAAACTCACTAATGTAAAGAGAAGAAGAATACAAAAGAAACTTCTAAAGTAGAAATCTAAGTTTTCAATGTAAAGGAAAATAAAATTTCTACTTCTAATTAAACTAAATTTCTTACTTTCTCAAATTAATATGTTAATTAATTTGTGTCACTTTGAATTTGAGTAGAACTCTAACAATTAACATCATGCATTTTCTCATTTATCATCCACTTTTATTACTCTCGTAATGGAGCAATTGTCTGTAAAACTATCCCTCCACAAAATGGAAAAAGTGGATAGGTTGATGATTTTCTTTATTTACCAGTAAATATATTATAATTTAAAAGAAATGAAATTATATATGTTCCATTTCTTGTATGCTGATATAACCACCATGAAAACATGAAAATTTTATTAGTATGAAAAACTATATTTCGTTGAGAAAAACAGGCTCTGAGAAGAAGCTTTGCTGAACTTCAGTAGCAAGTTCCTCCAAGCTCAGTTGACATTCTAGACCAATCTGTTCAAAAAATACATTACAAACTAACATAAGCCTTCGTATATATAATAAAAACAAAAAGACAGTAATAACTCAATGAGTGGCCTTAGAGGTAAAAGAGTATTTTTTTTTTAAAGAATTTGTGTTCGTGTCACTTTTTTTATAAGGCGTGTGTGCGTCGCAAATAGACTAAGAAAAATTCTTAACAAATACTATTTTTTAATCATCTCAGACTATTTAAAAGAATAGCAAGAAAAATATTGATAAAATTATGAACTCAACGAGTGATCAGTATTGTTTTCCTTAAAGAGTTTGGGTTTGAGTAACTATTTTTACAAAGTGTGTGTTGTAAATAAATTAAGAAAAATTGAACAAATATTATTTTATAATCACCCCAAATTATCGAAAAGAATAATGAGCAAAAGGATAAAATGAATCCATGCTTTATCTTAATGGATGAAATGCAATCTCAAGCCATTTTTGTTTATATATTTATTGCTCTCTAGTTTACAATGCTTGCCTTGAGGAATTTGCAATGAAATCCGCTTAAAATGAGCATATGATTTGAAGCACACATTAAACGCATATTGGAAAGCAAAATCTCTCATAGTCTATAAATATATAGTTTGCGATCCACTTACACGGTAAAACTTTTAGTTTTATGTCTTTTAAGATTGTTGGATGAGATAAAATCAGAGGCTGTGATTAATTCCTTATTTTTTCCGATGAATTTTTTATTTCCTATTGTTAATCTCAATTTTTTATTTTTCTCATTCAACAATCCCAAAAATTTGTAAAACTAAAAAGTTTTACACTATGCAATTGAATATATATATATATGAGTTAGGATCCACCTATAGGCTACACCTAGTGCAAAATTTTTAGTTTTACACATTTTTAAGATCGTTGGATGAGTTGGAATGGACGGATGAGATTATCTCCTTATTTTTTCTAGGGAATATCTTCTTATTTACTGTTGTTAATCCTAGTTGTCTATTTTCACTCATCTAATGATCCTAAAAAAATTACATTGTATGAACTAATATGCATATATATATATATATATATATATATATATATAATTTAGTGTCCAGAGTAATATCATTAATTTGTGATTTGATTTATCTAATATCCCATTGATTCTCTGTCTCATCTGTAATTATTCTTCTAAGAACATTTTTTCCATTGATTTTTCCCCATTATAAAACACAGGGTGATATCGTCAAATTAATTCTTTGAAACATTATCAATTTCATTACTCAATACCCACAACTATGGCTGAAACAAACGGTGGATTAGAAACCCTAAACCCCTGAAAGCCTATGATATTATTAATTCTTTGAAACATTATTTTCATGTGGAACATTACTTAGTACCCACGACAAATGGTCGTACCTTTATGAAAAAGGAATATAAACCTTAAACTCCAAAATCCCCGTGATATCATCAAATTTAAGATAGTGATGCATCATTGAATACCTGCAACAGCAACTATGGTTAAAACGAATAAATGATGGATACCTTGATGACAAAGGAGTATAACACAGTCTCTTCCATTCTGCTGATGTTGAGGTGAAGAACGTCAAATGAAAATTTCTCCAGCACAGCTACTATCTTCAGAATCTGACCAGGTATTTGTTGGCAAACGATTTTCAGGAGGACGTTCGATCCCGAGATCCTTGCTTCGACATCCGCAAGAGACGAGTTGAAACATGCGCCGACTTCTCCCATAGGGCTAGGTTTTGCAGGCAGATGTAGTGACTTTGGAGTACTTGGACTAGGGCTAGGGCTTAAACTCTTCCTTTGTTTCTTCGATTCCAGAGATTGTAAAACTTGTTGCACTTCCTTGATGAACTCCATCACACCGCCTATGATCGATGCTTGGTCACCCTGAAAACCAAAATAACCATATTAAAAGAATTCTGAACATATACTACCTTATAATTATCTACAACTATTAAAGAAAAGCTCTTAACTTGAACAATTAGGGTTGGGTTTCGCAATATCCATATCGAAAAAGAGAAGAAAGAAAACAAGAATTACCCTCTTAACGTAGAAACAAGGGGTTAAAGAACGCAAAACTTTAAGATGTTCATTCAGTTGCCTTTTCCTATTTCTCTTCACAGCAATATGAGACATGTTTATAGTTTTTATAATTTGAAAGTAGGGTTTATCTTTTATAAAAGTGATTGATCTTCCAGCTCTAATGTTTTGAGATGAAGAAGTGTTTTGTATGGTATGGGTATATATACATATAAAATACAGTTGGGAAAGTGGTGGATGATCACTTAAATGCTGCAGGGTGCAGTCTCGTGAGGTTTCTATGGTTTACTATCAGAAATTATTGTTATTACGTAAAGCTCACGTTTATTATCTTGGAACAATTACATGCCTCCTCATCTAATTTCACTCATCTTTTAACTGCTCTATCCCCTATTCTTACCACACACTTTCTATATAAGTATTAGATCTTATTACACAATGTAAAATTCTTTTAGTTTTACGTAGATTTAGGACCGTTACATGAATAAAAATAGGTTACTGAGATTAACAGTAGAAAATGAAAAGATATGCCCACACAAAAATGAGTTAAATAAATAGTTTTTTTTTGTTTTTTTTTTAAAAATAAAATAATGCTTTATTTGTTTGTTTATTTACATGTTTTACAAACCTCATTTAAAAATGGGCCAAAAAAATAACCCAAAACCCTTAACCAAGCAGACCCAAGTCCCAGGTGGACATGTTTCGTTGGCCTGATGCACCAGCAGAGCTTCCAGATTGAAGATTCTGACCATAGGGTCGATGTCCCGAAGCATGCTCGACTGGTCCCATAGAAGCCTAAGCCTTCGGTAATAAAATAAATAGTATAGCCCACTTCTTTCTTTATTTTACCTATAAGCTAAGGCATGTTCTTCATGTTGCAACTGATAGAAAGGTGAAGAATCATCCTGAGAATCAATATTACTTTTTTTTTAATCTTTAGCAGTCGAAAAAGGTGGCAACATAAACATCATGCTCACTAATTCAATTTGATTTCATGTAACCCCTTTTCCTTTTATTCTAGTATTTTCTACCTATTTTCATTAGAATAATACTACCACGCTCGACGAGTATCGTTAATGATGACACTATCAAAATAAATTCATAAAACATTAAATTATAAAATACTAAACGTATAATTATAAATTAGTCAAAAACATAAATGTAATTTAATTAAAATACAATATTTATAAAACATTAGTTTTTATAATCTTATTTTAATTATAATTAGATCACATGTTAATTTGAGAAATTTATAAACCCTAATTTATTTTCATAGCTTTGAAATTCCCGTCGTCGTCGTTGCCGCTGGTATCATCTTTCACCATGGGCGAACAACAAAGACTAAATCGACGGAGAAAGATGATATCGGTGGTGGAAGCGGCGGCGACGACAATGATGACGGTAGTGACTTCAAAGCTATGAAAATAAATTATGGTTTATAAATTTATTAAATTAATATTTGATCTAATTATAATTAAAATAAGATTATAAAAATTAATGTTTTATAAATATTGTATTTTAATTAAATAACATTTAAATTTTTAACTAATTTATAATTATATGTTTAGTACTTTATAATTTAACGTTTTATAAATTAATTTAATGATGCTCATCATTAACCATGTTCATCTACGCTAAACTAGCATTGTAGAAATTTTCTTTTCATTAATACTTTAAATTTTAATTTCAGTACCATTTAATCCTTTTTCTTCATTTCATTTTTTTGAATTTAGCCTCTTATTTTGATTTTATTTTAATTTAAACCATTTTTATTTTCCTTTTATTTTTATATTTTAATTTAGATTTTTAATTTCCTTTTACTCCAATTTGATCCTTTTAAATTCGGTATTATTTTATTCTTTAATTTAGCTCCTCTTTGTTTTTATCTTTAGTTTTTAATTCTTTACATTTATGATTTTTATTTCCTTGTATTTATTTTTCTTCCCTCTTAAATTTTGTTGTCTTTATTATTTGTTTACGACTTTAATTCCGGTGTTAGTTTATTTATCGTTTTCTTTTTTTTTAAAAAAAAAAGTTTACTTTATCGTTTTAGTTATGCCATACATTATTTTTATTTATATGGTACATTATTTTTAAAAAAGTTTTTTATTTTTTACGTAAAAATGTATTTACAAAAAGGCTTAAACGAAAAATAGTCCCTAAACTATGCTTATTTTTTCACTTTAATTCCCTAAATTACTTTTTTGTCAAAATAAATCGTTAAACTATCATACGTAACCACTCTAAGCACTTAAAATATTTTTTTGGCTAATAAAGTTCCAAAACTATGTGCCTTTTTTCTTTAAGTCCCTAAACTATTTTTTAGATTAAAACAAGTATATAATTTTGTGTAACATGTCAATGTCTCATTAACCGAAAGAAATTTTTCTAACCGAAAAAATAGCATGACTTAGAGTGGTTACATATGATAGTTTAAGACCTTATTTTGATTAAAAAAAATATTTTAAGGACCTGGAACAGAAAAGCAACATAGGATAGAGACTTTTATATATTTATTTTAAGCCTTAGAAAAATTATAATAACATAATGATTTAAAGCTTGTATACTAAATCCAATGGTTTTGTGTTTGAATTCCAATTAATAGATTTTAGTTGTATAATTTAGAGAATTATATAAAAGCATGAAAAGCCAAAAATATTTTTATAATAATATATATTATACTTCAAAATAAGAAACATTTGATCATTTCTCAATTGAATTGATGAAATATTAGAGGAACATGTTATCATTGTAAGAAATAATAGCTTACATACCTTCAAGTTCCAAGGTTCGCATCGGTACTCATCCCTTTCCAAATTTGAAATTTACCAAGAAAATATTAATATTTTTATCATATTCAAAGAATTAACATTTTTGTCGATAATCAATTGATTTAACGAGATAAAATATTAAATTATTTAAATAAAATTTAGGAATATGACATGAAAATTTGTGTTTTCTGCATTTCTCCTATTGTTTTACAATGTTATTCACTTAAGGTACAATATATTAATATTAATTGGATTATGGTACTAATTTATATTATATAAATATAAATATAAATATTTTTATATTATAATTGTTTGATCGTGTAGCATTTAAAATGATAGATTTTACGAATGAGTTCACGTGAGTTTTGTCAATACACAAAAAATTGAATATAAAAGGAAGATAATTTGCAAGAAGAAAGATCAAATAACTTTATTAGAGGAAAAAATAAATAAATTTCCGTACATCAACGTTTTATCTGTAGGTCAAACTCAATTAATTTTTTTATTAATATATCGTTTGGCCTTATTTATTCCGTACCAAAATTATTTTTATTTAGTTATAATAAGGTCAATAACATTTCTCTTTTCTTTTTTTGTCGAGCAAATCAGAGACATTGAAATTTCAACATATTTTTTCTTTGAGAAAGCAACCAACTAGTCAATTTCAATAAATTGTTCAGAATCTTGTGGTAGGGCTTCATTAATTAATTAATTAATTATTACTCGAAATTGGTAAATTTATAAACTTATTAAGTGGTTTAAATGGTTAAATAAAATGTTATTTTTCCTTAAGATTGTGAGTTCGAACAGTTGTGGAGTGCATGTTATCAACCAACGTTCAATATGTCTTAATTTGTTTATATCTATATTGCATTTTTTTAATTACTTTAATAATTCTTATGCCTTTTTCTTTTATCTCTTTCGTAAAAAAATTCTTCCCTGGAATACATTAGGATGCACTTCCACTATCATGGAGTGCTACATCCTTCAAAATATTTCGAAGCCTTTGAAGTTTTATAGTTTTTAGCATTCTTAAAAATATCTTGAGGTCCATATTCTCTAACCTTTTATAGTCCCTTGACATGATTATTGGTAGACTTACGTGACCTGTCAGAGATAAATCTACTATATAACAATGAGATATATTCTGTCATTTAATCTACAAATAGTTATAATGGTCTAACACAAACACCAAGTGTCGGTATATAAACCACCATGTTAAACTAAAGAGGGCTATCTCACTCTTGGATTCTCTTTAAACTTAATTTACTATTCATTGTCTTCATTTCACCAACCACGAGTTACGATTCTACACCTAAATTAAAAGAAGTGAATTGTTTAAAGCAACCCCTAACCCACTTTCCCCATCAACAAAATTTCATATTAAAAGAAACTGAAATTTCTAACGACACTTCATCACTTTCCAATGTTTATGAATTCATATCACAATAAGTATACAAAACATGAATTTGATAGTGAATCACTAAAATAATAACTTCGAGTCACAAATATGTTGCACTACATATTTTGGTTACCAGTTTTAAGAAAAAAATATATGTTGATTAGATTTTGATGTGATATGTTAATGAAAATAGTTAAAATTTAGTTTGATCTCTAAAATTTTAGATAAAATATTAATTTTAACCTCTGAATTTTGATAAAATGTTTTCTTTAGATTTTCAACTCCATCGTTGAAGATAAATCTTTCAAGGTTATGATCTCTTTCCATATTTTTTCAATAAATTTTGCCGCTTTCACTGTTTCTTTTCCTTTATTTTATCAATAAATTTTATGTCATACGCAAAATGAAGAAGATGACGAAATATATCACTCACCTGATGGAGATGATATGAAGTAAGAAAATTTGACTAGGTTTTAGCCTTTATTTTAAAATTTGAATTCTTTTATATTAATTGTATGTTTTATTGATGATGTTCACTTTATATAATTTATTATTATTAATATATACATATCTACTTTTAAAAATATATCTAAATCCGGCCATATATAAGGAGAAAAAGTAATGAATACTAAAAAGATTAAACACAACCAATGACACACAAAAGAGGAAGCCAAGTCATGGGTCACAAGTTAACCCCTTTAATAATTCTACTCTTGAAGAAGCCTAAACAATTGTATATATTCCATATCATTTGATCCTTCAAAATTATTTAACATGAACTTTAGGGTCCACAAGTAATTATATAATACTTACCAGGATTGTCACTATAAAGAGAGACAAATAATTTGGAATTTCTTGCCTCCCAGATATAATCGATTTCATCGAACACGTGTCTTACCTGTTCATTTAAAGAGAGACATGAAATAAATTATTGAGCGGTCTGGGTGATTAGGACGGGTGTTATTTATTTTAGAAATTTCAGGTTTAAACAGGTGCG